CTCCAGGGGGATGTCTGCACACACAGCCAAGTACTTTCTTCTTCATGTCTCTTTACCCTCTACAGCATCATGTTTAGACCTAGCTTTTTAACTCATTATTTATTTTAATGATTTGTCTGTTTTGTCTACTTCCCCACTAGAATCTGACTTCTAGGAGCTCGCGATAGAAGTATCTTTATTCATATTGCAATTTCCAGAGACTGGTATGTGGGAGATAGTTAATAAATGTTTGTGGAATGAATAAATGAATGAACAGTTAATTCTAGAAATATGATATTGACTGTCTGACAATTCAGTGAATATAAATTCTAACAGTAATTTTGAATTCAATACTAAATATATGGGGTTCTTCATTGAAAAATGTAATACCTTTTGTTTGTTGAGAATTAAAGTGAAAATGCTATATTAACTCTGGAGAGGTTTACTAGCATGGTTGGCAGAGAGATGTGCCATGCAGGTAGGTCTCCCTTCTAGGAAGGGCTTGTATCCCAGCTGCAGGAAGTGCTGTCAGCAGAGAGCCTCCAGCTGGCAGCGCCTTCGGGGTCTGCTTTAGCTGCAGAGAGCTGTCTCTTCTGTCTGAGGTCAAGCCCTTTCTGGGGCAGTCTGTGCCAGGTGACTAGGTGAGGTGGGAGTATAAGGGCCAGTCATTTCATCTTGCCATGGGGAAATTTCTCACCTGGTTGGCCAAGGTTTTGTTGGGCCCTCATCACAGTTCAACTTCTTCCTCTGCTCAATCCAGCTTCTTCTCACTCCACAGGTGTAGATCCCATACAACCACTTCCTGAGAACCTGATCTGAGATAACTAGACAGCATAGACAGAAATGCACAAATGTAGTATACAGGAGCGTGTCTCATTTTAACCACTCAACCCTTCTAGCTGGAAACCGATTCTGTTTCCCGCTATAGTCAGTCTCTGTTGTGTTACCAATCTTCGGTGTCATTTTCTTTGGTCCTGACCTGCACTGCACTCTTCTTTACCTCCATACTGGCCCACTACAGTTTCAGAAGCCTTTCTACTCTTTCTGAGGTTACCCAGTTCTGGTTACGACAGTCAGGGGCTCTCCGTCCCTAGCTAAGAAAGTATCCCTCTTTGAAAATTCCCTATTTGTATCTTTGGAATTACCATTTCCCAAGGCATCCAAGTTTGAAAGTTCCTAGTAGAAGATAGGAACCTGCCCATTTGTGTATATCACTTGTGGTTTTAGTGATGCTGAGAAGAGAAAGGAAGGAGGAACCTAAATGAAGAAAATAATTCTTTGGTAAAATAAGTAGAAAATAATGGAGACATTGGCTTTCGATCGAGGACTTCCTATCAACCCATCATGGGGAATGCAGGCTTCTGTCATGCCTTTGAGACTGTTACAGACTTTACAATATGTTGTAGGCTTAGAGCCAGAAATTCTGATGGCAAAAGGCTAGAGAGAAGGGAATATAGAGGGAGAAGAACCAGATTAGTTCTTCTCTATAAGATTATTCTACCAACTCAATACATTTTTAGGTTCATGTGGATATTTTTTCATTTTTTGGAAATTTTAAAAATTATTTTATAGTTAAGTAAGTACATGGTTTCAAAGTAAAATTCTTAAAATAAGAGATATTAAGAGAAGTCCAGCTTTGATCCTTGTTACTTCCACCCTGTTTTCTCCCTCTTCCTTGTAGGAAATATTTTTAAAAATATAACTACATGTATGTTTGTGATCATATCCTTACCTTTTTAAAAGAAATAGCACACTGAACATACTTTTTTACCTTGCTTTTTTCTCTTAACATCTGTAGATCACTCTATAGCATTACCTAAAGATACTTCTCATTTTTTTATACAAGAACAAAGTACTCAATTGTAAACATTTACCATAGTTTATTCAACCAGTCCACCATTAATGGTCATTTGGGCTATTTCCAATTTTTTGCTATTGAAAAAGTGCTACAAAGTATAGCTTTCTGTGTACATCTTCTCATATTTTTTTGAGACATCTTTGTGATAGATTCCTAGATATGATTATTGCAAGCAGCTGTCAAAGCAGTCCAGGGCAGTGAAGCTGAGAGCCTGAACTAAGTCAGGGGTGACAGGAGCAGAGGAGACACATTTGGAATGTATGTTGAAGGGTAAGCATGGCCTGAGTTTTCTAGCTTGGTTGACTGGCGAGTATTCCAAAATAAGACAGAGGAGACAAAAGAAAGAAATAAAACCAAGGCTGATAAATAAAGCAATAGTATTAACTAGATGTGGATTTGTGTATGTTGCACAACAGGTTAATAGAGCAGTTAAAATTAAGCCCAAATTGTCATAAAATATTATGACAGTTACTGAGCACATTATAGGGATTAAAGATGGTCTCCCTTAACCAGATGCCTCTCTATTAGAGAAAATCCGTATTGTTTATGAATCAATAGTAGCCTCTTCTTTTATTTTATTATTTTATCCTTTTTCTTTTTCTTCTTTTTTCTTTTCTTTTCTTTTTTCTCTTGTTTGACTGCGGGAAAGGTACAGACCAATTAGTAGCCTCTTCTA